AGCAAACAACAGTCAGCTAACTGTCATTTTTGACAGACTATTTGATATTGGCGAAGTGTAAACATGACTACATGTATAGGTCTTTAACCCAAACATTATGCATACGTTGGAATCGAAATAGAAATCTTTCTGTTTTTCTGCATCTTTACTATGAATGGCAGAGAGATGTTTTAAGTTGGAAAAATTTTGAAGAATTCTGCATCCTGAGTACCAGGTGGGTTTCTTTTAAAAGAAAAATTGAAATTGAAAGATATATTTTAACTCTCTTTATGCAACCGAGAACCGATCTCTATGTCCAAGTTGCTTTATTGCCAAACATTTTGCACGCTCCAATTACAAAACGGAAATTGCGTGATCCGACGACACTTGAAGCCAACCGAAAACCAAAGGCAATTGCACGTTCAAGTGCTCGAAATTCGTCACGGCTCTGATTTGCGTTGCTTTGAGCATCTCAACAGCGAAATTCTACGCGCTGAAGCAAACATGACTTAAACACATTTACAGTTTACAGTGGAGTCTATGGTAAGCTTTTAAGCCTGCATCGATCAGTAAATGTAATCTTTATAAGCTTGACGAAGAGATTAACTAGGTTAGAGTCTAACAATAAGACTTGATTTTTAACCTAAATACCAATACGTCAAACCTCGCAAAATTGAAATATCCGCAGCGATATTTAAATTGACGTTATTTTTCGGAGGCGGTGTTATTTTATAAGCTTAATATTGGGATTCTTTCTTTACTTATGCAGCGTATTCTTCGATCTCGTCGGCCATGCTAGGCCATGAGCGACGAAGATACAAGATGGAGGTCGATCGCTTCGAGCGTCTTCGTCGACGAAATTCTTCTCAAATACAACGGCGAGGCTGGAACGGATAATTTCTTTTCAAAGATGTCTAGTCAAACATTGGCAGAACGGATAACTGCACTGAAAGAACATGTTTTTTCCAATCCAAACAGTCAATCTGGCAACAGCGATCAAACCAATTGCGGCGGAGAAAGCAAAATTGACTTGTCAAACAATACGGACCCTCCCTTGAGGCAGTCTGTGTTAACGAATGCCGACTCTGAACACAATCAAAGTGGGCTTATCGTTGACTTAGGCAAGTTTGCTCAGACGAGAGACAACAGTGAATACGCTGAACCTGATAACCGGGTAGCCAATACGAACAACAACGGAGAAACTCACGAACCAACAAGGGAAGACACGTTTTGCTCGAGCTCAAATTTGGCGCTCGACGGAACGAGTCGCCCCAGGGAAGGGATTTATTATAATGACGGCAGAGCGATAGACCAGCAGGCCTTGAATTGCGGCGACAAGTTAGATAACATCGAGGATGGACATTACTGCGGTAGTTCTGAACAAATAAATTGCTTCCCGGTAGTTGTAATTACACCGGCCATGACGGAAGAAACATTAGACGAGTGTCTTGACACCACGAGCAACTGCAAAAATGGTGCATTATCCGCGGCCATGTTTTCCTTAAAGGATGCAACCGAAACGTGTTCATTGTCAAGCGCTGGCTCTTGTTCGGAGAGCGAAATTTTGACTGATGAGGAGGCATCGGATGATGAAATCAAGCAGCCACTGGAAGACAGATCTGAAAAGGTGAGAGCCTATAAATTGTCAATTGTGTGATCCCTAGTTTTTCTCTAGTATTCAAGAATTTTCACGTCATTGTGTGCTTCGCGCGTTTTTCGCGATTAACAAACCCATTTGTTGTGTGACTATGTGGAGCGACCACTTTGTCAATTCGCTTTTCGTATATCATTTAACTGCCATTTGTTATTAAATGATTTCCGATGCGATCGAAGGTATATTTCGAGGTGCTAAAGTAGTCATCGTTTACTTAGTTCGTTTGAGTGTTTATTTGCGTAAGCAGAAATGATCGCGAAGCCTTTCCCATGTTGATGTTCGTTTCAAATGGTGTTTATTTCGACAATCGTTTCGCGAATAATGTTTATTATTGGCTGAAAGTGTTTGTAGTTTCATAGTATGCTGTTTTTATGGAGTTTATTGTAGAAGATTTAATCGAAGCATGTGCTATTTAAACGCTTTGTTGCCGAGATCAAAATTTATGGGCTAGGGGGATAACTTCCATTTAATAAATAAAACATATTAATCATTTAGCTCGAGTTTCATGTTTAACATTCCTGTAAACTCGCTGACGTCAAAAAAAGATCGGAATGTTTTTACTTGACAACCTTTGGGACTTTGGAAAGTTATACTTATTTGAAATGTAAACACTAAGTCCATATTCCTTGTTGAATGTTTTCCTCATTTCCATTTTTTAATTAAGTCAAACTACAACATTAAATCACGGGTTGAAAGAGAGAGGCATGCAACAACTTGTCTGCACTTTACTTCCTGTAACATTATTTTTAGTTTGTCAATAGTACATTGGGATTCCAAAAATACTTGTATAGGAGTGAAGAAACAAATCCTTGATGAATTATATTCAGTCCCGAGTCCTTATTGGTATAGTCCACTGGGCTTAAGTCCGTGGACTTGGGGTCAGTGTTTTGTCCACTACCACATTGGACAATTATCTGACTGTCATGCATGAACCCCTTATCACGGGTTTACGTCAGTCTAAGAACCTGTGAACTTTTTCTTTTTTAAGCCCTCTAGTTTTTCCAGGTTCTACATATTGTGTTGACTTCTTTGTTTTACATCACCGATGAGTTTTCAAAGTAGTTAACAATTTTGTGTTAACGCAAAAAACTTGCATGTGTTTTGCATATGCATTGGTTGCTTATCTCTGAGCTGTACTGTACAAGTACATTGAGGATGAGTCCTTCTTACATTGTCCTTTGCTTTTCTTCTACTGACTGCAAGCATCACAATGCAGTGAAAGTTACCAGGAGAGATGTAAACCTTGGTATTTTTAGAGTCAGCTTGAAAATCCCAGTGTTACCATAAATTGGTACTAGTATAAAATTAACGTGAAAGCCTTTTATTGAAAAAATCATGGCCACATGACACATAAAAATTCCCAAGCATAATAACAAGACTATAATGTGAGCAGGTTGTCACCAATCAGCATTAGTTGGACAGTACTCTATCATTTTATATAAGCAGAAAATCAAAAATTTTGTCAGATGTCAGATTGAAAGCATGCACACCTGGCAGGTGTTATGATATATAGATTTAGCCAGAGCTAAAGGCGAAGCTCTCCTTGATATACTTATAGTTAAATGAAACAAAAAATATAATCGTGTCATGCTAAATGACAACGACAAAACAGCTGTCCCAAAGGTGTCCATCTTAGATGGGGATCTCTCTAAAAAGGACACATAGTGCCTGTCCCAAAGGTGTCTTTCTTAGATGGGAATCTCTCTAAAAAGGACACATAGCGCCTGTTCCAAAGGTGTCCATCTTAGATGGGAATCTCTCTAAAAAGGACAAATAGTGCCTGTCCCAAAGGTGTCCATCTTAGATGGGGATCTCTCAAAAAAGAACACATCGTGCCTGTCCCAAAGGTGTCTGTCTTAGATGGGGATCTCTCTAAAAAGGACACATAGTGCCTGTCCCAATTAATTCATTTTTCAAGCTGATCTGACAAAGTAAAGTTATTACGTTTATTATTGCAACGAATAGATAAGCAAGTAATTAATTATTAACTTATGATGTAATTTGTTTTTGTCATCAATTTATTATTATTTATTAATAAATCAATACGTAATCATAAGTGGATGTTTCAATAAATATAAAATATAGATATTTATTTTATATTATAGATTATTAATCCTTTGTGTCAAAAAATTTGAGGGCTATTTAAAATGACTACCAAACCCTAACTTTAATACATGCTAGCACCCCGGACAAAACGGTTGAGACAATTCTGTCCATTTTCTAACTTTTGTGCCCTACTCCTGTCTCCTCTAAACAGAAAAATTAAGCCCCCTCCCACCTCCTATTCAAAGTTGTCTTATATATGTTGTGGTTCAAATTTTTCCTTGGTTTAAAATTTTTCAAACCAGTTTAATTTTTACTTTCCTTTGTCTAAAATCAATTACCATAATCAGAGACAAAGAAAAACAAAAATTAAACTGGTTTAAAAAATTTTAAACCAAGGAAATTTTTAAACCACAACATATACATGTATAATTACCATGCTATCCTAAACAACTTTGGATAAGGGGAGGGGGAAATTGGGCATTCATTTGGCAGAGGTTTCAGTTTTTGCCAGGATGACAGGAAAAAATAGGCATTTTCGCAATATTTGTCTCAACAGGTTTTCTCCGAGGTTGTCCTATTTAGGCAAATTATAAAATAGAATGTCTCTTCACCTTGACCATGTGCATCTGTAACAATAACATTGCTTCGATGTAGTTAATGTTGTAAATTTATCATGCTTGAAAAGGTCCTTTGCTTTTGTATGACAGAATTTTTGTTAAAGGAAAACAGAATAATATCTTTATTTCATACTCATACAGCTGTTTATCCCTTCCAAATTTGCTTGTTCTTGGAATGTAAAACTTGAATGCATAGCATATCGCGTGTGGAACCCAGGAAGTTTATAATTATTTAAATGTGATATACGTGACTCAAAGTGTATTTAGCACTGAGTGGGTGGCGTGCATAATGCAGGAATCATCAGCTTTTTTGTTTACATAGTTGAATATATTAACCTCTTTATCTCAATGACCTGAGGAAGTCGTTATGTAACTCAGAACTACTGACAGAATGATTCCTGATTTGAAGTTATGTTTTTGTATTTTAAAAACTAACTTTCCCTTGTTTTGGGAACTTTGCATAGAGCATTTCCATTAAGCATTTTCTTATGTAATAAATTACATGTAGAATGTTATATTTAAATCTTTTGTATCGTACCCTTTTAATCATTCACTCTCTGTACTATTGGGATTAAATCTCTGATTTTAAGCAATTATTTTGGCGAATTATCAAAGTGTGCATAGTTGTAATTGAAATATTCATTGTTAGTTAATAGTTGGCTAGAATTATTATGGTTTTTTTTTTTCAAAAGGCCATTTGCATGTAATTTATCCTTTCCAAATTGTTCATTGCCAATATTTAATTTCATAATAATGTTATTATATTGCTTATTATAGCCTTTAATCAAAATTCTGTGTTGGTGTATTTTAAGTCATGCATAACTCATTATCATATAAATAGATAACCTTTAAACTTGGGTGTTTAAGTCAAACAACCATAAAATATTACAAATGCTTGAAGGCTTAAACAGTCTCTGTTGAACTTGAGGCCAATTTTTTCGGGCTTAAATGTTGTCAAAGAACAGATTCAATCTTTTTTTCTGTCAGTGATTTTGCTCTTTCACTTTGTAAGTCATTTCTGTGTCAGTAGTAAGCCAAAAGAAAAAAAAGCAAACAAAGCATGCTTCATTGCATTTATTTCCCTGCCTGCAAAATTATACAAGGGCTGTTATTGCCATTATACACAACTGTAAAAGCTGGGCTCTTAAGAAAGTAGCCAGTCAAGATTTGAAGCATTTCTCCTTTGGCTGTTGTATGTTACTCATTTTCAAACTCCGAGTACACTAAGTCTTTTATCCTGCTGTTTTTCACTGTAGTAGCAAGCTGCTAGATGCAGCCACAGTTTATGCTCATCTTTGTTTTAGCTGAAACCCACAATCAAGGAGGCAGCTGTGGTCAATGGTTTGGGGGATAATGAGATCAAATTAAAATATGCAAAACCATACAGACAATAATTTTGAGCTATAAAGGAAAAAATCTGGTTCCTTTAGTTTACCCAGTCCCTCTATAATAAAATTACATGGTTGATGCTTTTTTCTCCAGTGTACTTAATTGATATTTCAGAGAAGAAGGTTATAATCTTTTTTTTTCTTTGAGAAATTTGAGGTCATGGAGACCGTTGTTCTAAGTAGGAATGCAAGTTTTAGACTAGACCAGATGCAAATTATGAAGGAACCGAAGAAACATTTCTTAATCTAATTTTTTTATGCATGACTACTGTAAAAATTGGCGAAGCATTGTTATAAAACTGTGTGATTGCCAGAACAGACTCTACAAAACTGCAAAACCTCATTGTGTAGAGGCAAGTATGATGTAAATTGAAGAACACACTGTTGTTGTCAGTGGTGAACTAAAAGTAAGTGAACATGTAAAACTTAACAGTTTGATATTTAACAATTAATATTTGTAATTGTTTACAGGCAGAGGCGAGCATTTAAAAATTAAAGCAAACAAATTGTTTCTCAACTCATGTACGTGTAGCTATCAAAATTTGCACTTCCCTACAACCCATTATCACAAGCATGTCTTGTAGCAGCCCTAAGGTTTCAGGGAGCCAAAACAAACAGTTACAACAAATTGTTTTCATATTCTTGAACATGGCTTATTTCTTGGCATATGCATACTGTATATATTTTCAAACAAAGGCCACAACTATGTCAGCACATTGCCAGAAACTAAAAAACAGAAAAATGAAGCAACCGTAAGTTTTCAGTTCATCATGGCCTAGTTTAAGTGATTGCCTACCTATTGTAGCTACAAGTACTGTGAAAAAAGATCATTGATTATTGTCCAGAGTCAGAATGGTGAGATCTTTACTCAGCCTCATCATGAACACTGTCACAGGAATACGATCTGTTGATCCAAAGAGCTCATCTTTACAACTTTAATCTGGCACTGTACAAACTAAGGAGTGGTAAAAATGTTTGATTACATCAGTCACAAAATTTGTGATCTAGTTTTTTTTTATGTTACCTACTATCTTGGATGTTTGATCTTTTTGCCACACAAAGTCTCAGATCCTATGCATGGTGTGGTTGAGGATGGGCTTGCATGCCTCAATGACCTTGTGAGCTACATGATTGTATAATGGTGGGGACATAAGCTCCTTGCAGCTTTAAACAACTCAGGCAGGTTTCCATGGAAACTTCAGAGGCATCAGTGGTCCTCCAGGTTGGGGTTGGTCATAGTGCATACATCGCCACTGTGGAAAAAAACAGCATTATTTTGAATTCATAAAACAGTAAAAACGAACGATAAAATCCGACGTTTTAGAGTAGTCATGACTCCATTATCAAGGAAAAATGTTTTTGATCATGCAGATTACAGCATTTAAAGCGATGTGGCACCAAAATTAACATTACAGGGTGCGAAGATTATGGAAATACTTTCGCACAAATAGAGTCTGATTGTACGTTGAATTTATCACTGAAACTGTAACAACACTTTAACAAGCCAATTACAGAGCTGCCAACCTCTGGAAATCAAAAATCTGGAGACTCTCTCTTTGGCATTACCCCATCCTGTCCCGTCATGTCCCTACCCCCCCCCCCCCCCCCCCCCCCCCCCTACCCCCCCCCCCCCCCCCCCCCCCCCCCCCCCCCCCCCACCCACCCCAACCACCACATCCCCCCACATACCATAACAACTTACGTAGCAATACAGAGACGAATATTCCATGTACAACACTTTAACAAACCAATTACAAAGCCGCCAACCCCTTGAAATCAAAAATTTGGGGGCTCTCTCTTTTGCATTCCCCCCTCCCTTCCCGTCATGTCCCCCCCCCCCCCCCCCCCCCCCACCCCTGATAAGCACAATTCGATCCAGTCCCTAAATGGTTTAGGACATTATATGAAGACTTACATGAGGTACAGAACATCGCAATTTGCTTTTATGATTGTAATGGCAAAATAATTCTTGTCAGTGATGAAATACATACAAAAATGTCTCAGAAATCAGACCATGACAGCTCCAGGACTATATTACCGGTAGTCGGTTCTCTCCTGGGGCAAACTATGTGCTAAAGCATGGGACGAGGTTCAGTGGCATGGTATGATTCACCCTTCTGCCCTAGCTAGAGTGTAGAGGATAAGACAACAAAGGAGAAGTCTCAGATGATAAACAAGATTCACTACACAAAAAATTAGATTTACATCAAATTTGTTAGGAAAAATAAGATGCAAAAAAGAACAAACTAGAGCTGCAGGAGAAAATCTGGGGCACAGTTAGTTTACAACTGAGTCATCACCATACAGCAAACTACCGGAACAGTCTATTCCAGATAACTCAAACCTTCAAGAGAAATTGAAAAAAGTTTGAGTTATTGGGAGCTTGAAGAAAATAGCCGCGAGTACGGCAAAAAACAGTTTTTACTGCACAGGGAATATTTAAATCATATTTAATAATTGTAAGAATGTTAAGAGAAAATGGAAAGATACTTCTAGATTATAAATCAGAACGCAACTTAACAAAACATTGCCTAAATAGAGCGTGCATTTTACTGTTTTGAGGAGTAAAGCTGTTTCATGTTAGATTAGTGACAAACAACATCAGCCTTCACTAGTAAACCTCATGCCTAGAACACATCAATGGGAAATTCAAAATTCAATATTTCGGAAATACCAGTATACACTGTTTTTTCCCGACTTTTTAAGGGCTGAAAACATGGTAAGAGTTTTTGAGAGTAAAATTACAGAGAAATGATCTGAGGGGAAGCAAAAATTACTTCAAGTTACAGGGAGGTTTGAGTTACCAAGGGTGAAATTACAGTAAATGTATGACGGAAATCCGAGGGAAATTGATTTTGGCTCGAGTTAGCGAGGGTTGGAGTTATCGGGAGTCAACTGCACCACGCTTAAAAACAAGCAAAATAAAAGTTGAATTATTGGTGAAAATTATTAATCATTTGACACGTCCCACATACCAACTGAGGAGTATAGCTACTTGAAGAAAATAATATTAATTTTGCAAATGAACCTTTAACAGTTTTTATTTAGTTTTTACCATCTGCCAAACAATACAATTTATATAGCGGACATTTTTGTTTTCTGTCAAGTATTCATTTCACTGCATTGCATGATTTCAATTTGGCAAGTCTTTCCGTTTCAGATTGAGATGTACACAGCATGAGCTGATGTATATATAAGTAAAATAAAAATCTGTGCCATCAGTTGGTCTTGATCTCACGACAAAAATTAATATCCCTCCTACTGAGAGAGAAAATTAATAATAAAGATGATTTTCAATACCATTTTTTTGGTCTCCAAACTAAGTTCACTTTGTTAAAGCAAGAGATTACAATTATTATTGTAATCTGTTGCTCTAATATAGTGAACTTAGTTTGGAGACCAAAAAATAGTATTGAATATTGTGTAACTGAAAAATTATCTTTTTTTTCTCATAAACCACATCTTGTGTGGGTGTGTGTGTGTGTTTTTTTTGTGTGTTTTTTTCTTGCCTCTTTTTTTTCTGCACCTTCAAGATTGTGTTGACATTTCAAAAAACTTATTCAACACCTGCTCACGTGTAAACATGGAACCTTTTTTGTTTTGATAAGGTCCATCCTAGACATCCAGAGATGGTATGGTTTATTCAAAATAATGTTCAAAAAGTTTTAAATGGTTGTTTACTGACTGAAGAAAAGTACACTCTGCTTTGAAAGAGAAGTATGATCCAAAAGATTTTCGTGTATTTGAATGTTGTATTAAAACATGATATTTATTTCCAACAGCAGGGCTTTTCCATTGTTTCTTATACACAAAAAGGCCCATGTCAATATATCTTTTGTGATAAAATAAAATATTGCAATATGACATTGTGTCACGCAGGAGATCGTGTTATATATTAAATGCAGATTTGTGATAATGAGAAGTGATTTTTAGCCATAATTCATTTACATTGGTTCTATCAGTGTGAAATCTTTCTAACTAGGAAACACAGACATAAAATGTTTGTACTTTACTTTATTTGATATGAAATGTTCTATAGGGTACATGTATTTTTCTTTCTGTGAAACATTTTAACTATATTGCATTTTGTAAGTTGAAAAACTGGGTGTTTTTTATCATCATGACGTTATTCAAGAGCTGTTTTAGTCTGCTAAAACCATCATCAGTAACTGTTATTAAACTGAGATTTCTCCTTGTTAAAAAAAGTATGGATAGCAAAGAGGAAGAAAAACTTCCAAATATAAAACCTGGTGTAAATGCCAATGATCAGTTATACATGTGTACAAGATTTTCTGGTTCATACATAAAGGTAGTTGTGTTCACATTGTTAATAATATTTTTCATGTCGCTTTGCAGGTCGATTCACGGTGGAAGAAGATTCGAAGTATGATCCATTGGTCCCCATTTGTACAGAATTTTAAAAAGAAATATCCCTGGGTTCAATTGGCAGGCCACCAAGGTAAGCTTATATCTTTATTTTTATTCCCCTGGAGCTAGCTGTAGAAGGTAGCAACTACCTGTAAGATTGAGTGGAATTTTTTTTTTTGCAACTGCTCACTATCTCTGTGAAAATCTGTTCTCATGATGTCTTTGTTTGTTGTGAGGGAACATAGGAAAGTGAATATTAAAGCCCCCCCTCTTAAATAAACCCCCCTTATTAGTGGGAGGAAGTTAATAAGCCCCTTCATCCCCCCTTCCACATCCCCCTCCTTGTTGCTTTGCAACCACCAACCCACCCGCGCGCCCAGTCACGTACTAGTCGGAATGTAGGAGAGACGTCCGAGGGGCATAGCATGTCGCACGGTAGTTGCCAGGATGTGTGGATCCACACGACAGACACAAACACTAAGAGGTGAGCTTATATCTTTTTTTTGTTTCCCCGTTGGCATGGTGTTGAAGGGGTCAAATTCTGTTTATGTTTGTGTTTATTTTTTTTTTTGCACCTTGTTACTTTTTCTGGTAAAATTTGTTCTTCATGTGTTTTTTTTTGTTTTGGGGGGAAAGGGGGAAGGGAATAATAAAGCCCCCCCCCTTAAAAAACCCCCCCTTTTCGGGGGAAAGAATTTAATAAGCCCCCCCCCCCCCCTCTCTATTAAGCCCCCCTCAAATGGGCTTGAAATAAATAAGCCCCCCGGGGGCTTAATAGAGGATTTACGGTAATGGAGGAAGCTGAGAGAAAGGGAATGGGAACCTGGAATGCAGTCTACGGGAGGGTTGGACCCCTGTCCAGGACTCGAAAAAAACTTGACTTCCAGATTGCCTTTAGGACAAGTAGCTCACCTTGCGCCAGGCAGGTCTTAAGTTAATTCATTTTGGTGGGCAGAGAACTTGCATGGACTCTTGTCCATCAGGCAAGTGAGTTTGAAAACTGACTTGCTCAGCAGGAAATTCTACTTGTTCAAGACGACCGGATGGCACTTGTTTGAGCCGTGCCTGTCCCCCCACCCCACACATACCAGCATATTTCCCACAATTATACTACTACATGAGAAATTTCTGCAATTTGATTGCCTTAGAGCAGTGGTATTTCAGCTTAATTTGAAATACCCGCATGTGAAAATTACAAAACCTTTGCGGTAGTAGTATAAACAAATAATAGCATGATTTGTACGTGATATTTGGCATAAATACCACTCATGATATTTCAAAATTGTCTCAAATAACAATTTTGAATTATCACGAGTGGTACTTATGCCAAATATCACTACAAATCATGCTATTACCTATACTAATCTCTAAACATAATCAGTAGTTTTTGTGAATAAAAATATTATTTGTTATAGGTAGCTTCAAACCAGGTGAAAATGGCATGATTTTGAAGAAAGCCACAGACAAAGAGAGGGAGAGTCTCAGAAAGCTCATGAAAGATATTCTGAGACCTTACATTCCAGAATACAAAGGAGAAGTTCACAGAGGAAATGAATGTATCCTTCATGTTAATTAAGGTTGTTGTTAGAAATCAATAGATGCAGTACATGCTGAATTAAGAAAATGTATCACTAGCTTGTAATAATAATAATAATAACTGTTTATTCAAAAAGGAAAAGGAGATGAAGGGGTTAACCCCGTCTAGTTCATCTCCAAAAAAAGAACAATAATAATAACAATGAATATACATATGAATAAAAAAAGATAACGTAAAATTTCTGTTTAAAATTCAAAAATATGTTGACATGTCTAGATAATTTAACATTCAGCTGAAACATTGGTGAAATAACGTCTGAAAAATGTTCAAGTTTTCCACCTCAGCAATTTCTTTAGGTAAATCATTCGATTTATCAATTATGTAAATGAAGTAAGAATGTTCAAAACTATTTAAAGGCGCAGATTGTCAGACAAACTTAGTGGTTTAAGGTGCCACTACCACTCATTTCATGAAGTGCCATGCACTGAAAGCGAATTGACTCTTTTTCTGTGGGTTGAATGGTCAATAATAAAACCAAATTAACATTTTATATAGGAGGAAATTTTTTTATTTTGAATCCCCTTTTGTTTTTTTCATCCAGCAAATATTTGGAGAGATGCTAACCTCTGGAGATCTAAAATCTGGAGACTCTCTTTTGCAGAACTACCACAAACTTTCCCCTACCCCCGCTCCCCATGCCTGATAAACTCAAATCAACCCAGTCCTCAAATAAAACCATGGGTGTGGCTCAGGACATGAAGCATAGTTTTACATAGATTATAGACTGTAATGATGACATAATCCATGTCAGTGATGAAGTGTTTGTAAAGATGCCTCCAAAAACTTCCAAGAGTAGGTGTTATTTTAGTGATTTGGTCACCGATGTGGGAGAACAAGAGATTAGTGCAGAATCAAGGGAGAATACGGCCAGTGTCATTACATAAACTATTGAATATTATTTGCTTGTTTTTCCTCAATGTAAACATCAGGTTATCTAGAAATGCAAGATTTACTTCAAGATTTTGATAGTCCCTCTGTTATGGATTGTAAAATGGGAACAAGGTACACTACTTTATATGAAAAAAATATTAATACACAAAATATTACAACATAAGTGGTGGTGGTTTAATCACTTCAAAAATTAAAAAAAATTAATGCCCTTTATTTTAGTGTCAATGTATTTAGCATGAAAGTACTAATTGGGAACACTATTTTTTAAGTCTTCTACTGGAGATGGGACTGCCATTTTATGTGGTCATGTGAGCCACACAAAGGTCCAGAGTTTATGAGGAAACGTTTGATGTTAACAGTAAAATAAAATAGCTCAAAAAATGCAAAATATTTGAAATTTTATTGTCGAGAAGTCAGGTCTACAGAAATGGCAAACTTCCGCAATTATCTGGGTGATTTCAGACTCTAATCTGGAGATCGGGAGATACAGTCTAAACTCTGGAGTCTCCCAGATTATCTGGGAGAGTTGACAACACTGCTTCTACATATGTCCATAGAGAGAGGCATGACAAAACATGGATCCAATTGGATCTGATCAACCCCTCTAACTCACTGACATGATGGAAGGTTGGAGATGGGGTTACAGGGATTTGATGCAATCCAGTCCAATGCAAGTTTTGTCAATGGCCCATGGAGAGTCCATTGGGTATAAATAGACCAATTTCAAATTATTAAAATTCTTACTTGGCTCCGAGGTTTAGCGATTATAAATCGGAAGAAAGGTATTATTCATTGCTGAGCCTCAGGATCACTTCTTTTGTTTTATTCCGCAAAGTCTTGCAGCCTAGTATGAAATTTGATATATCAAAATATTATTGGTCTATTAGGACAGTGTTTTAGGCTTTGCAATCAAACAGTTCTTTTCTATTGCATTGAACAGAACATATTTAGAAGACGAACTTGCAAAAGCAAAATCAAAACCAAGAAAAGTGAGTGAACACTGAGTTTTAATGACAGGGGTGTAGCCGGCCCATAGACCTGTAGACCCAGGCCTACAAATTTTTTATTTGATCACTCTATGGCTTGTAATAAATTATGTGTTGTTGGGTTGAGCCAAATTGCTTAAGAGCTCAAAGTGTTGGTGAGGACAGTGCTTACTAGTCATGCATGCAATTTTCAGGATATATGGAAATGAAAGTCAGCCAGGCCTACAACAGGTCGAAAAGCTGGCTACACTCCTGAATGATGTTATAAAATACAATATTGAACCCCTTTATTAAGGACACTGAAAGACCCATCCATGTTGTCCTTCTTAAATAATGTCCATATTAAGCGGTTTGTGTTTCTTTTGCAGGATTTGTTTCAGAAAATGGTAGAGGTAGATCCCAATGAACCAACAGAGGAAGAAAGAAGAGAAGGAGGAATAACCAAACCACGTTACATGCGGTGGAGAGAGCAACTTAGTTCTTCAGCAAGTCTTGGCTTCAGAATTGAAGGAATTAAGGTTAGACTTACAGCTTATCCATATCAGCGCTCCGAACTGCAACCCTATTGGCTGCCATGGCAAACGAAAAAGATTTGGCAACTAAAACAGCAGGGAAAGTCACCAATTTGGCAACCTATCTTTGGTGATCATGAGCCAAGCCGTTATTGTCTTTTTAAAGTTCAAGTGAGATAAACATTTGCATGATGTATTATTTATGCAATAATTATTTTCTTTCATTTTTCTCCCTGGTTTGTCTGGTTATTAGCGTTGTGATGTTGTGTGCACCACTAAATTTGATTGCAATAGTAGTTTGGCTTCCATTTTGATTTGTTCACACATCTCTATACTGTACAATGTGTCGTTTTTTTCTGTCAACCAGTATTTTATGCTTGGCAATCATTTTGTGATTTTTGGTCATCAAAAGGCAACTTTGAAAAAAAAAATGAGGTTTGAGCAGTGCACAATTATGGAATGTAGTTGGGCTTTGATGTAGAGGATTTATAACTTTTATGAGTTGGAGTTTGAGGTCTGAAAAGCATGGACTAAGTCTTTTTTCTTCTTAATTAATGCCTTGAAAGCAGGGCATACTTGTACATGAAACCAAGGCAAACAAATAAGGATTATTGATACCCAGCACAGATTGAGAAAACAATGACTGAACCTTATGGGTGATTTTAAAAATAATGCTTCACAATAAGCAGACAAGAGATAGAGTTAAAAAATTCAAAATTCTTTTGACATAGCCGAATCTTTTCTTTACAGTTGTAGACAGTTTTGATAGCTGTCAGTATTCTATAGTGATAACATCATTAGATGTCACTTGTTTTGAGAAAGATTGCAGACAGCTAGCTAAAATGGTCAACAAATGTAAAACAAAAAAATGTCTATGTCTAGAGAGAATTATGCATTAAGTTTTGCTGGATAAAATTGTCTTTAAAACCTTAATTCAGGTGTGCATTATAGTGTTATTCCAGGGTTCACACAGTCTTGAAAAGTACTTGAATTTTAAGGGAAGTCCTTAAAAAGTCCTTGAATTTTCTTCAAGGTTGAATGTAGTGGCTTGGGGGGTGTTTTTAATGCTTTTTGGTTGTGTAAGACAGAATATAAATGATAGCTCAGAGAAGTTAAAGCTAATTTACATAAAAAATTTTTTGTCTTATGTAATAAAGACAAGCGAGCTGAAAAATATAGAGAAGTCGGTGGAGCAAACAGTTCAAGCCTTAAAATCCTGTTAGAATGGACTGGGAATGTGCTGAATATGCATTTTTGTACAATCGGTGAAATTACACTCTTGGTAGATGGTCCTTGAAAATTGAATGTGGTTCTTGAAAAATCCTTGAAAAGCCCTTAGAAAGGGTTCCGTTTTTTTTGTATCAACCCTGTATTCAAAGAAATCTTTTTGTGTGCTCTGTGCAACATTGTATTTTATTTGTCTTGTAGCAAGGTGATCAAAAACCCAACAAAGATTTTAAGAAAACAAAGACAAAGGAAGATGTTAACAAGGTTTTTACAGAATTTATTGGCAGTGATGACAAAATAAGAGTAAGCATATTTTTTGTTCATATGTTACTTTCAATTCTGGATCAAATGTCATTTAACATACTTTGCATGACTAACTTTATATTTTGCCTTAACTGTGATTTTGTTTTACTAGCCACAGAATTTGAAATCATATAACTAAGGCACAGTGTACTTTCTTTGCAGAGAAAGTATTTAAGACGGCTTAAAGCTATTAGAGCTACTCTAGAGTCTTCTCCATTTTTCCGCTCACATGAGGTTAGTTTTCATTAATATTTTGTTGTATATGTTTAATTTATAAGTAGGATGTATAATGGTTTATTTCCTGCTGACAACATACAATACGTGTAGTAATAACGCTTAAAGGTAATCAACACAGGATATTTCTCAGTGAAATCACTACTGAAAGGTGTAGTTTACAACAAGAACAGGAAAGATTTTCCATCAATGAGAAGTGTGGAATTGGAATGCTTCTAGAGAGCTAGTGCAGTAAAGGAAAGTCACCAGTGGGGTTTCCCATTCCTCTTTGCTTTGCCTGCAGTGATTTTAGCATGGATATTCCATCCTTTTTAGCTTCCCTTGGATCTGCTAAGATGCAGAAGTGTTGGCCTCACTGTTTCAAGTGCACCTTTTGTTTCTTAATAATTGATATTACAGTCAAACCTTGGCTAATGGCCACCTCTCTACAACAGTCTCTTTTTTCCGTCCTGGGCCCAGTTGCTCGAAGCATGGTTAGCGTTAACCAGCGTTTAATACCTTGGCAACGTATTGGTTTTGATACTACTTAACCAATGGTTAAAGCTAACCATGCTTTGAGCAACTCAGCCCTGGTGCATAAGTTTCACGTGATAGAAGGTCAAAACACTCATGATCAGATTCCATGCTATGCATTCCTTTCATTTTTAGTGGAAGTCCAAACAAATCCCACTCACGCATAATAGCAACCTGGGCCCGGTTCCTGAAAGGCCAATTTGTTCTAATCCAGGATTAAAATTTTTTTCCACTTTTTGTATTTACCTTCCTATGCATTGCATTTTTTCAAAGTAAAGGCACAACAGTATTTTGTAAGCTCAAGTTACATGTTCTTTTAGTTCTTAGACAAGAAAAGCTTGCTTAAAATTTGGCTTAATCCTGGGTTAAATTTAACCATCTTACAAGGAACCAAGCCCCTGAGATTAAGATTGCAGTCTACTCTGGTTGCCAGCTATAAACTTATTGAAGATGGTCTTGTTTGTTGTTCCAGGTGGTTGGTAGTTCTCTGTTGTTTGTCCATGATGCATTTGGCAAAGCTAGCGTATGGATGATAGATTTTGGCAAAACTGTACCTCTTCCAGATGGGATGTGGCTGGACCACAGAAAGCCTTGGCAAGAAGGGAATCATGAGGATGGGTATTTATGGGGACTTGACAATATGGTGGAAATCTGGGCACAAAGCTGATCAATATTTAGTAGAAAATAATATTACTGACAATTAGTCCCTTAATATAAATAAATAACAATAATATTCTCCCTTAGTGGAGGTGGCAAGTGGTGGATTTTTACCGAGCATCAAATTTAAAAGATACTAAAACAGTGAGACAATTGAGCACAAAAATGATAATTTTTGACTCAGTTATTGCTGCCAACTACGACAATTTTGGTGTGCATTGCTCGGAGGTGAATAGTACTGGATATTCCGAGTTTGAGTACGCAATTAGAGCTCACCACTGTTTGAGTATGTACTAAAAGATGCTATTCATCACAGTTTGTGTGTGAAAAATTAGGTGATCGTTTGCTTTATAATAGTTGCTTTGTTTTTGAGGTCGTTCCAATTACTTACTACTGGGCCTGGTTGATCAAACGTTAAATAGCAGGGTGCAAAGAAAGTCAGATTTACAGCCTGCCATTCAGGCAAGCTGTAGCTAGCATGTACTAGCCCACAAGTCATTTCAACTAGCCCTAAAACCCTTTATAATTAGGAGGATTGATTACAATCCTTCTGTAATTTGAATTTCCAAAAAAAACAGCACTTGCTTGTTGGGCAAGGTAAGAAAAAAATCACTAGCCCAATAGCAAAATCCACTAGCCCCGAGCTATCAGACACGACTTTCTTTGCACGCTGGACAGCGCTGATAAATCACCATCCTGAGGATAAAATGTTAGGGAAACCATTATTATTGTGTTATTTGGTAGATAATGAGTTTCTAGTGTAGAGCGTTATATGTCTTTTGAATAACTGGTGCCTGGTCTTTGTCAGGCGTTTGGTGATTAGCATGTGCTTTAAAGCACTGTGGCTGATGGTGATTGGTGCATTTCAATCCTGACCATGTCAATTAACCATTACAGTGAAGACTAAATCAACCAACGCAATCACGTGAAAGACAAGCTGCTACCGGTTAAAAGATCATAATCAATATCAAAGTGTCTATTGTGACACAAACAGTAAATCAACCCAGTCCCTTATTTTTCCTAGAGATAATACAGCCAGTGAAGGAAGTGAGTATGTGTGAAAAATGCGTCCTTTGAAGAGAGGTGACGCATGGATTACGGTTTTAACACGTACTTGCTTGTTTTACTGACTGTAGTGTTCCTGAGGAAAGCTCAAATGATCACTCGTGGTCTAAGATGGTAATAAGTTTCCGTACATAGTATTTTACAGTCAACATTACCTATGCTGCCAACCCTGTATCTGTGCTGTTAAAATTATAAGCAGGGGTGTACCCATGGGAGGGTTCACTGAAGGGGTTCTGGAATCCCCTTTTTCTTTCTTTTTTTTAATGGCAAAAGAGACTTTTTAAATGTCAATGCATCTGGTTTCTCTAAAGCTTCAAGAAAAACCTTGTTTTCTAACAAGAGCCTTTTTGCCAACTACTAATACAGCAGAGCCTACTAGACACTTGCAGTATGACATCTACCACTCTATACTATACATGTCTTCATCATACATGAGCGTTTTCTGTTTTTTAATTGATGCCATTATTACTATTTTTGCTGGAGAAGATCCATGACACTCTTGCTCTTGACCTTCAGTCAACAGATTTAGAAATGAAACTCCTTGAAAAAAACATCAAACATTTTCCGTCTACAGTTAACTGCTTATTGAACTTTAAGTGACTAACATCAGAGGAGGTTGATTCCCCCCCCCCCCCCCCCCCCCCCCCCCCCACCCCTCGCATCGCCCCCAACCCGCGCTCAGACCATTAAAGAACAAAATGTTAAAAGAATCAAATTTAAGTAAATTTAAATGAATGTATTGTAAGGTTAGTATTGAGTAATATATTTTTTTTTTTTTTTTTGTTGGGGAAAAGACACATCACACCTTTCTTTTAGCCCTAAAACAAAGAGTTTTAAAAAAGAACCTCCTAAAAAAAAATCAAAACTTTTTCCCCCTAAAGTTTACCTGTTTTTTCAATTTAAGGTGCAAAACAAAAGGGGGGGGTGGTCCCCCCCCCCCCCCCGCCGATTGCTAAAAGGCTTGGTATGCCCCTAAAAGGACTTATAGGTATCAAATGATCAGCTGTGCAAAGAATTTAGCCTGACTGAGTTACAGTGAACATTTTGTGAGGTTAGAAAATAGTTTTCTTTCATTTGGGAATTCCTGAAAATACCAATTACGGGAGGAGGAATTTCTTGAGCTGTTTAAAGAAAGATTACAGTAAAGCTAGAATTTCAAGAGGAGTTTTGCGAGGTGGGGAAGGGGGTGCATGGTGGTTTGAGGTTAACCCAAAAGCAACATGAAACAACATGTCAAATGTTTATAACAAAAGTATCTATTTTATTAATGTAGGAAGTAAATGTAGTAATGTTATGCCTGTCTAGAGTGATTTCAAGAGGGCAGAAAGAGGTTGATATATCTTGTTATTTAACTAACTCAAATGTTCTTGTCAGGACTATTCATTTTTACCCATATAGATGCCTTTCCACATTTTTTGCTGTATTTCTTTCACTCGATCTTATGTCTAACGCCAATTCCTGAGTCACCGAGAACAACATTATCTTTTAAGTATGTTAAGTAGTCCATTCTCTCCCATTTTATATGTAGCCAGTTTAAAAAATTCACCAAAATTCCATTTTGGGGGCGAAAAATTCACAGAAACCAAAGAGGTTTCACTTGAACGGTAATATCGCAGGATATTGTCGACAGATTTAAAAGGAAGAGTGACAAACCAACCAGTCATAAATTTTGGTCTAGGATAGCGTGCGTGGGAACGCGCGAGAGAAACACGTGAAGGGGAAAGATGGAAACTAGGGTCTCCGCTATAGGTGCCTCGTCTCCTTTTCTCTCCTCGTGTGCTGGCGGATCGTCGAAATTAATCCCTTTGCTCTAAAAACGGCAGCCTGCAATACTCCTCACAAATCGTTGAAACAAACCGTTTCTCTTGAATTTTCTCGAAAATATCTTACTTCACTCTGCTTTCCTTTGTTCTCACTCAAATGTGCCCCCCTTCATTCCCAGTGTTGAGCCACGTGTCTTTTGGAGCACTGAGATGACTGTTATATCCAAATCAAGATTGGGGAAGAGGAAAACGCACACAAGTGTTTCAAGATTTTTGACGAGTATTGTAGGTCTAGACGGCTCAAACAGACAACATTGCTCGTCTTTCATATAAGTGCCTAAAATGCCTTTGTGAACGAAATTGATTAATTTAGCAATTTGTGGTTTTATTTCAAACGTCGCGTAACCTTTTTAAGGGTTGCATGACCTGTGAAAGAAAAATTACGAATTCAATACTCTGAAAATCTATCTGCAATGTAAGTAAATATAAACTTTACAAACTCATAGTTTACTGAATGTAAATATGCTAATTGCTGACGTACTAATTAAGGGTTAGGGACTGCTTTGGATTATTTACCAGCAATTAAAAGCACTCACTGACTAAAGAGTGAATGACGAATTGTAATACTAAATTTCGAGTTCATCCCACAGCAAGCACGTGCATTTAATTGCTGGTAAATCACGAATAAGAAGTCATGCAGGTTATCAAAATATCCTGTAAACCTTAGTTAGAATCAGGAGTTTTATGTATTTAAAACGTCCCGAGCTATGCTTTCCTAAGAAGAGTTGACAGTAAGATTTGTAACAAAACCTTTTCTCAACATAGGCTACTCTAAGAGGAACACTTCACTACGGCGGACACAGGCCAATTTGAGGCTGCAACTAAGACGGAGTTGGCACTGTGGTGAATTGAATTATGGGATTGTTTCTCGCAGGAACCTGGGACAAAATGTCCTCTCTTAAACAACCCACAGTGCAATTCGAAACAAAGCCGATCCAGTGTCATGCGCAGCTGCAAACTTGACAGCAGATGATTGGTCGTGTTCTTGCAGTCCCTGTAAACTGTCTGATACATATGAACAACGTATTTACTAGAAATCTATGGCAAAGTTTATTACGTGAACAGTTTTAAGCCAGAAAATGTCAGGTCATGGTGTTATAACGTAAAAATTCAGGGCATGTTTTTTTGTCCATGTTTTGTTATCTACATCTGTTATTATTATTATTATTATTATTATTATTATTATTATTATTATTATTATTATTATTATTATTATTTTAGTGTACAGATGTTAATTTAAAGTACAGTAAAACTTTTATATCAATCCTCTCTGTGTTGTGGATATTTCTAGTTCCTTCATTCCTCCGTAGGTGACCCAAGCTAAAAAAAAAAATTGTTTCT